GTAGATTTTTTTTATCTCGTAAGAATGAGTTAGTTATCTCATAATAATGGGATAACTAATTCATTATTACGAGTTAAGTATCTCATTATAACGAGATAAAGTATATCTCATTATTATGACTTAGTTATCTCATTATTATGAGATACCCTAATTCATCATAATGAGTTATTGATATGCAACGTTGCCAACATGTACTGATAGATTAGGAAGGGGCAGTATTCCTAAATTTCTGAATATAGGACGACATGTGTCTATATTATATGCATTAGCAATTATCATAACTGCTTCATTTTGAAGCTCAAAAACTCTATCAGAAGATGAGGAGTTTCCCCACATAACGATACTATACCCAAGATGAGAATTGAAGAAAGCGTAATATGCTGTCAAGAGAATCTTAGAACTTACTATAGATCTCAACTGTCGAAGCAGAAATATATGCTCTGAAAGTTTGGAACATCATAAGTCATCAATATGATTGTGTCAGTTCAGGTTATCATCTATTGTGATTCTTAGTAGACTTACCTTATCACCTTTTTGAATTTCACTGTTGGATGAGAAAATCAGATTCTGAGTTTCAACTCTGTTAAGTTTCAAGAGATTTCCAGTGAACCACTTTTCTGCCTGGTTTTCTACATATTTCATGAATGTAATTAGGATTTGGCAATTTTTGTCATAGCATTCTAGTACTATCATCTGCTCAAACGACACATTGGTTTGGTAACATATGATAGAGAAAATCATTGATGTAAATGATGAAAAGGAGAGGCCCGAGAACAGATCCTTAGCAAACGTAATGCTTTCGATAATGGAGGTAAGACTGGAAGAGACAAAGTGCTATTCCTCTGATACCGTGATACCTGATCAGAAAGCTTTTTCCTCACAACTCTTGTTACTGATTGAATGGTCGAGCATGATATTCGAAATCCATATTGATCTTTGTTCAATAGATCCTTGCTTCCAAAGTAAATCTGTAATCTATTTTTCATTATTATTGCAAATATTTTACCAACTATAGATATTGGGCGATAATTCTCCAATTCATAAATATCACCTTTTTCAAAGCTCTTCTACTATTCTTTTATGTTCTGATTTTGTTGCAAGTTCTTGTTATCATCTGCATCTGTAATTCCTTAAACCTCTACATACTTCCTGATGCTGAATCTACTGAAAGTTCATGCCTTCACAGTCATAGGTTCCGAAGAAGCTAACATATCTTTGAATGCAACATATCTGCTCTATAATAACATCATCAAGTTTCCAAACAAATATCCTTATGCTGAAACGAGTAATGTATTGATATCTTATGTCCAGTAGTAGCTAGTATAGTATATCTATGATTTGATTCACTAACCTTCGTTCCTTTTCGTTCCCAGGCAAATATCAATCAAGAGAAAACTCAAAATATAGGTGATTTTGTTGCAATTCCTTCTTGTTATCATTCGTGTTTTCTAAACCCTGGACATACTTCCTAATGTTGAATCTACTGAAAGCTCCTGCCTGCATACAACCTTTCATAGATTCCGACGAAGCCAAATATCATTGAAGTGAAACATCTCTGTTCTGATGATATTATCAAATTTGTATTACCAATAACCTTAGCAAACAAATATCGTATTGATATTTCATGTCCAGTTTCATGATTGATCTGATTTACTTACCTTTGTTTCTTAATTTATGAGAGGGATGTCATCATCGACAGACTATGATACATGATATTGTTATCTCCATAGTTATTCTCGTAATTATTTTGTTAAATAGCAATTTGATGAATGAATGATGGAAGTAATCAAGGACTACTTTGATAAAATCATCAATATGATGTATGAGTATGATGTATTTTGAACAATTCATGGGACATAATACTTCAATTCTAGTTCAACTTCCTTTTGACTTGGATGACATGTTATTTCGTGGAATGTCATCTGATTTATCCATAGGCACTAAATCCTGTACATTCTCAGTCACTGAAAGAACTTATCAAAGGGCAATTACGGCGCTTTTACTCTACGCCTAATGATGTTTTTAGGTTGTAGAAAGTATAACGTCCTCTCCAGACGTTTGGCGACACGTTGAGGTTGACTATCTGGAGCTATCATTGGAGCGAAAGAAGATAAAAATCCCAAACGTTCGATAGTTGACTAGGAGAAGTGTATTCTGAATAACATAAATGAATGGTTGAACATTTTTAATAGGACACACCCAATAAATAGAGCTACATGGAAAAAACGTTCAATTCTTCAAGTAACGCCTCTATTATTCATCTTTGAAAAACCGGCAAGATGTCGTTAGACAATACGTTTCATTCTGGTTCTACAGTAACATTACCTCTTCACGTTGATTCATCGTTACTATAAGACGTTGCACACGCAATGTGAATTCCACTGAAATATACCGTTTTATTTCAGTTCTGACGTAACCATACATATCAACAGTATCTCAACGTTTTTCATACGTTTTCAACCGATTTCAATATAACGATGTAATTTGGTTTCTAACTTGGTTTCAAAGTAACGTTGCTGAGATATAAATTCTAAACGTTGATATCAATACTAACATTGAACGTGAATTTTCAGAATTCTGGTAACGTTGATCGTCTAGATTGAATCAACGATGATGAAGTAAAGTTTCCATTTTCACTACGGATCAATCTTTATTAATATTGCAAATTAATTAATAATAATAAAAAATACCAAAATTCAAAGACAATGTGTATAGTCATCCTAGATATCAATGAAATCTCAATCAGATAGGTATTACTATTTTCTTTTCGACTCGAGACTTGATCCGTTTCTCCGCAAACTTCAACCAGTCCTTGATTGCATCTGCAATATTTATTCATTTATTCATTCATTTATTTATTCAGGATTCTAGGTAGCATACAGTACAAAGTAGGTACCAAAATAGCATCTACATTGAAGCTACGTGGTTATATTGGACATCAGTTGCAGCTTCAAACTTCCTTTCGACAGCAGCTGCATAAATCATTCAATATAATTATTATGAAAAACGAAAATATAAATTAACATACCATAATTCAGTTGGATCACCTTTGTGTCCTTGAGTGCAGCCACTGTTCCTTTGCCTTTTTAGTTGTAAAGAAGAACTAGCTCATTGGTTCTCAAAATCCTCCTTGTGTGTTCCTCTGTTTTCATGAAATGTCTGTATATGTATATCAGTCTATTCTCATTATTCCTATCAATGTTCCAGAATATTAAGTACCGCTTTTAAACCATTTTCCAACCGTTATTTCATCAACACATTCAAAACGTGTTTCATCTACTTTTTATACACGTTCTATTACCGTTATTAGAGGTGGCTAGACAAAGCGACTCCAATAATGAGATGGTATATTTCTCGACCAAGGATTTATAAATATGGAATATAATAATAACTCCATAATATAAATTTGTGCAAGTTGGACTAAGTACCTACCGTATATGGGAGTTTGTGAACCTTTCGACATGACAGAATCGAATAAGTAGGTATAGAGCTTTCGGTAGGTGAAGGTGCTCATTTTACTGTGAATTGAGCATCTCTGCAATCGTCTTCAAGAGATGACCATTGGAAATATTCGAAATTTGCACAATACATAAGTTTAAAAAAAATCCAATGAATACCTCCTGTCCCTATATCCTCCCTAGGGAAGCACGATGTTCTTTGAACATCATAGGGATTTGCTTTCGTGCGCTCCAAGCGATAAAAAAGGTACTTACCACTCTCATATCTTTCTAAATCCACACATAACCTTCGAAGAATCACAATGAACTGTTAACCATAATGGCGTCACACAAACTGTGAACATACTGTCGAGTGGTGGTGTCGGAATGCCGATAGTTCAGGTTCATTCAATACGAATACTTTTGAATAATTCCTTCAACGGATTAAACACAAATTTTCAGAAAGTTCAATAAAAGTTCAGAAAGTTGTGATTGAAACGTAGTATATAGGTTGCTCGAAGATATTATAGCTGTTATTCAATAATCCACTCAACGGATTGTACACGTAATTTCATAACGTTCAATGAACGTTAAAAGAGTTGTGATTGAAACGTAGTATATAGGTTGCTCGAAGATATTATAGTTGTTATTCAATAATCCGCACTCAACGGATTGTTTCATAAGGTTTAATGAACGTGTAGAAAAAAGTGGATGGGACGTGTAATAGAGGTTCCTCAAAAAAATAGTTGCTATTGATCAATTCATACAACGGATTATACACGTAATTTCGAAGTGTTTAATGAACGTAAAGAAGTATATATATCAATTTGAAACTGGAACATTATAGGTTCCTCAAAGATGAAGTTGTTATTGAATAATTCATTGAACGAACCGTTCACGTAATTTCATAACGTTTAATGAACGTGAAAAAAGTAGTGATTGAAACGGAGAATAAAGGTTGCTCAAAGATAAAGTTGCTATTGGAACATTATTCAACGGGTCATACACGAAATCTGAAAACGTTCAATGAACATAAAACAAAGTAGTAATTGAACCGTGAAATAAAGGTTGCTTAAAAATATAGTTGTTATTGAATGATTAATTCAACAGACTTTATAGGTGATTTCAAAACGTTGAATACACGTGAATGAAAAGTACGTAATTGAAACGTGAGAAAGAGGTTGCTCAAAGATTCAGGTTGCTGAACAATGTCATTAGGGACGTCATTGGGATGTTCTTTGAACCTCATTGAATATACGTTGAGGAATCACGATAATGACACGTTGCATAATGGTGGCTATATAGACGAGTTGAATCATTAATAACGTTTATTATAAGTTGAATCAACGTTTGGTTGAATTTCCGTTCCGAAAGTAACGTATCGTGTGTTTATTCGGCATTTAGGTAGTTTAGTCCGCTATTTTTGTTTGCCAGTTTATTGACGGAAGAGATTCTGTGTTATTGCCGGTAGAATTCTCGATTTCCCTGGAAGTCTATTGCTTGACAAAGTTTTGTTGGAAATGTCATGTCCTGTAACTCTGATCTGATTTATTCTCTTTTCAGATGTCTCGGTCAGTTTGAGGATAAAAAGAACGATCACTTGTCGGCTTCTACACCGACTGTTTTGTGAATGTTTTCATCGCGGCGGGAACGAAATGGACGTCATCACCAGTTTGACCAAGGCGTACCAACAAGCAGAACAAGAACTAGTGGGTATTTATATTGAATTCACTGAAGTATGTGGCACATTTGATAGATGACCGACCCTGGAGGTGAAACAACCTGAATTTTTTCTTATTTGATTACGAACGACAAAGTTTTTCACAATTATTTTGGCACACGAACCGTGTTCCTTGGGCAACATATTTTTTCAAGCATGCCATCAAATTGTGCTGTTGTACAATGCACAAAAAATGCAGCGAGAGACGAAGGAATACGATTTTTTAGGTAGATTGTGATTCAAAAGTACTGTAGTGTAGTGTAGTTTTCATTTCGAAATGTTGTCATTTCTCTTTAGAATGAAAGCCTCAATAAAGCCAAAATGCCACAACACGCACGACTATTTTTCAGCATTTCAGACCAGTACTCCCGTTTGATTGCACGAATCGAAGCATCTTGCCTTTCGTTAGAAATTGTTCATGTCTTTCGATCACCTCCTTTTGCAGAAGAGATTCTGAAGAGAGATGACAAAATTTGAAAATAAAAATTATGTGAGTGAATACAGTTAATTTAAAACACGGAGAGAGGCAGATTTTCATTTTTAAACACTACACCTACGTGAATGAGGAGACATTTTGAGGTGAGTATTTTATTTTCTATATATATGTATAGAGCGATTTACAGTTGTAATGAAAATATTTTTTTCTACTCCCGTATGTGAATCACTAACTTCACACATCGATAAAAATGTGTAAAGCTTCATTTCACGAATCGGTGTGTGAAGTGCCATGCTTTTCTTATGGGATTTATTTCACGCTCCGGTGCCATAAGAGTCAATACAAATTCACACACCGGTCGCTGGTCTAGGTAGCACTAATTTTGTAGAGAAAGACAAAGTAAATGTACATTTTGACAATTTACAAAATTCCAATATAACTGTTCATAATAATAATTATTGTAATAAAGAAAATTAGTCAAATTTTCCATTAATTCAATCTCTAAGTAAAAGGTCGTAGAAAAAGTATAGTGTGCACCACGTCCGTGAAGACTTTTTTACACTCGTGCGGATTGTGAAACTTGCCTGCGGCTCGTTCCACAAACTTCCACACTCGCGTAAAAAAGTATACTTCACGCACTAGATACACAATATACTATTTCTGATCCCGTACGTTGATTACTAACTTCACACATCGATAAAAATGTGTAAAGCTTCATTTCACGAATCGGTGTGTGAAGTGCCATGCTTTTCTTATGGGATTTATTTCACGCACCGGTGCCATAAGCAATACAAATTCACACACCGGTCGCTGCTCTAGGTAGCGGTGGCGAGAGACATTGACAAATATGACAGTTCCCGCAGAGTGAAGTTCAGAGTTACATCAGTTAATAGACCGTAAATAGTAATTAATTACCCTCTGTATTAATAAATAGTACGACGAAATTTTGATTTAAACCGATTAGCCGTGTATTTCACGCAAATTCCTGATGGATAGCATTGAAGTACTCCCATCAACTCCTCCAAATATAACGTTAGCAGCCAGTGAAGCAAGTTCATCGTTATTGCCACAAAAATCGTTGGGAATTTACGAAAACACTTTGGAAAAGTTTATGCAATGGCGCAATACAAACAACGTCCAATCATTCTCCGAAAGGGTAATATTAGCCTACCTATCTGAATTATCAACAAAGGTCTAATCTTCTACCTTATGGAGTCACTACTCAATGTTGAAAAGCACCCTCAGTGTTAAGTACAACGTACAAATTGGTTATTATCCGAAAGTTCGCGCTTTCTTGAAACGGAAAAACGAGGGATACATTCCTAAAAAATCACGCGTTTTGGGAAAGGAACACGTATTGTAATTTTTCAAAGAGGCACCCGATGAGAAATATTTATTAACCAAAGTAAGTCCATTTGTATAAATATTGTATAATTTTCCTTTCATTCAATCTCTAAGTAAAAGGTCGTAGAAGAAGTATAGTGTGCACCACGTCCGTGAAGACTTTTTTACACTCGTGCGGATTCCACACTCGCGTAAAAAAGTATACTTCACGCACTAGATACACAATATACTATTATTCACTATATAGTCAACATACCCCCAAAATATCATACCATATGTTATGCAACTGTAGACATAACAATGACAGATGAAACATGTGCTCGCGGAAGGTGGCGAGAGAGGGAGCGGGAGCAATTAAAAGTTTCCGAAATGGCTAGAAAAATGAATCATATTCGAATTTAGCGCCTCCCAAAACCCCCCCAGTACTAATAATTTTCATGGCGTTTCTTTCATTTGGTTTTCTGGATGCGATTCACTTTTATATGCTCTCTATGCATCCGCGACCCATTTTCGCCATCTCCTGAAAATTAAAAAAGCGGGACTTTTTCCCTACGGTCTTTCTGAACGATCGGAATGCAAAACACCATATTCAAATCGGACCTGTACGAGAAAATTGCTTAATTTCGGAGTTAATCGTCCTAGATTGCCTGGTCTATACCGGGTGGTCCATCGAAGACGATCCACACAAGTTTTGCAATTCTGAAACCATGAAGTGTAATGCGGGCATGAACTTTCGATTAACAAAGGGAACAATCTGTATTCATTATCAACGTATCACACTTGGAGTATAGGGGGAATGATTACAGAGATATAGGGTTTTGATAATCGAGACCTCCCAACTCCAGGTTTTTCTTGTGTGACGAATTATTCATTCAGTTTTTGATTCACTTTCTACTGACATTTAATTGAAACAGATACAGGGTGGTTCAAGATTTAGAATTCTGATAATCCTTCATCTGTTCCAATCAAATGTCAGAAGATAGTTAATCAAAATTCAATGAGAATATAAAAATGGAATGAAATTCAAGATGTTCCATTTGACCATCCAAAGCTGATGCTTGTCACGCTTCAGGGTTTCAGCTTTGGGATATGGATAATAGGCGAGCGAACTAATTTCTTATTATTTCTTAAATAGAATCATTACCATTTCCATATTCTTTTTTGCTATTCAAAGGTGCTAAAATCAATAATAATGCCAAGGCAATTTTCGATCGGCTAGAAATTTATCACGATTAAAAACTGACGTCACCATATTGTGAGTAGGGGCAGACCATAGCACAGTTGCATGTGTTGAGATATGATTGGGAACTCCAGAAATATTAGTTATTCAATGATTTATAAATTCTCAATTCGTCCCTAAAAACACGTAGTGGCGTATCTCATATTTCATACTTTTCCAGGAGGAGCTTTCTAAGTTTTTGATCACCTATTTAGGATATTTGTGATAATAATTGAGGCAATGATTTCAATTTGTACCTTGCAGGTAGGTACAGTCGTCTTCAGACATCATGTCGCGGTTGGACGGTGTCAGCGCTCTCATTGCAGGAGTTATTAAGAATGCTATCATCGTCCATGTGCGACATGTTTTCTGAAGACGACTGTACCTTCAGATGAGTAGGTACATACTCACTAGTGCTCGCAACGCCAAATGTTTTCAGCTCCTTCAAAAATTAATAACAAATGAGATACGCCACTTTGTGCCAATAATGTTTTCATTGCAGGATATAGTTTGGTCACTTACGTCACTTGGGTTCTTTTTCAAATAAACGAAATGGGCTTACAACACCTTTTTCAATCTTGCAATCATCCAAAAAAAAAAACAGAACATAAAGTAACCATACACAGTTAATAATTTTTGCTGCTTCACCTTAATTGTCACTGTGTGGAAGGGAAACGTGAAAGTTTCTGTATTCGGCTACTTTGACAACTGGAATTACTCCTTGACAAAGAGATATCAAGTCCTGATACTTGTCCTTCCCTTTAGACTCCTTATTGAGAGGAAGTAGATGAACTGATTCAAGATTTGAATTTTGTCTCTTCAATGTTATTTTACAATAATCCTGTTGATTATGGCTTGATTTGAAGAACAATGTATCCTGATGTAGTTCAAAAACTTCCTTAATGTCACTACATTTGATTGAATCCTTCTCCCTACTCTACAATATCCTAAGATCCCGGGATGACTTTTTGAAGTCAATGAAATCTTCGAATCCTGAAGGAAAAACATCGTACGGCTTTTGACGTCTGGCCAATTTGAAGATAGTGTGTAGTTGCGAAGGTGCAAAGAGGTCTTCTGCCTGTAGAATGCCGTTCGATATGCATCTATGTACAGAATCGCCATCATATTGTCCGTGGTATGATTCAAAATACCGCAGAGTTATGGAAAAATTGAGAGAAAGAAATCACAAAGTGGCGTAAGTCGACTTACGTCTATACGTGATGAAAATAATTTATTCAAATTCAGATACGCCGAGTGAACCATAGCAGAATACTCGGAAACTATTCATTAAGGTACGCCACTACGTGCAATCGAAAGGGCATCAAAAGTTTAGTATGTATCCGTTGTGCCTCGATTTTGGATATTTCTGAGATACGCCACTACGTGTTTTGAGGGACGAATTATGTATTGGTTAAATTCTCAATTAGAGAGTCTTCAACATTTACATGATATTTTGTTATGGAGTATAGAAGAAATATTTGGACATGCTCGAAAAAGTCGAGAATAATCTATAATATTATGGTTTCTTCCCATCATGTTTTATTCAACGACAGGATACTAAAATCCTTTTGATAACTTGATTATAATTCCTGACTTGACAACCTTGCTTCAGAATGAAACATCATCTGAGCAATAACGAAACAGCATTTAGCATCAGAGTAGAGATATCATGTCCTCAAAACTCAAACTGAAACTCTGTGATACACTGATACTTTCAAGACTATCATATTGTGATATTATTTATGGCCCCGCTATACTACAAATGGACGTGAAACGTCTACAAAAAATTCAAAATAATTGTATCCGTCTTTCATACGGAATTCGTAAGTTTGAACTCATATCTGCTAAATTTGAGAAATCCGGTTGGTTGAGACTTGATAAAATTTGGCAGCAACACCTCCTCGTGAATACCCACAAATTTGTTACAAAGAAAACGCCAGATTATATCCACAAGAGATATACCACCTTTAAATCTCAAGGTAAATCGAGT